CCCACCAGCCCCAAGGATTCAACAGCGACCGGAGGGGTTGGTCCTGAGCCTTTGGGGAAGTGAGAAAGATGTTCACCTCCTAACCCGAAGGTCGGCAGTTCATCCCCGACCCGCCAAGCACCACCACGGAAGTCAGATCTGGCAGTCTGCTTCTGCTAAGACTACAGACAGGAAACCCCCTTGGTGCGGTTCTACCCTGCCGCACTTGGGGCCTCCTTGAGGCGGAAGTGACGGGTTCAGTTTTGGTTTGGGGGCAGTTAGAACAAAGGAGAGTCAGAACTGGGAAGCCAGCGATCTTGGGTCTGTGTGAGGGGACAGCTGAGGCGATTGGGCTGTTGGGTGCTCTGGATGGGGGGCATGGAGAACCCCCCCCCCCCACACACACACACATACAGGCCCGTGGGAGCTTCCTTTGAACTCATCCGCAGGCACTTCCAGGAAGGCTCACACAGCTGCCCGTGTGGCACCCTGTCCCCACGTCCAGCCCCGCTGCTGGGAAGAAAAACACAACAGAGCATGTCCAGGAACTTCTGAGGGGGAGGGGCCCCCACCTTACCAATGCCTCATCCAGCTGGTTTCCCAGAAGAAGAGTGGGGAGCTCCCTCGAAGAGACAAGATTTGGAAAAGAGAGTGTCTCTAGAAAGGCCCCTCTCCCGGATTCTGGGTGAGCCCTGGCGGTGTCTCAAGTGAAAGGCCTGAGGTTACCCCTCAAGGCCTGTGAGGCTGTGGGGGGCGGGTCGTAACAGGGGTCAGAGGGCACAGGGACGCCCCTTTGCTTTCAGTGTCCTTGTTCCCAGACTCCCTCCCTTTTCCTCAAGCACCAGCCTCAGGTTGTGGGGTAAATGGCCCTGAAGGAGGACAGCCCAGGGATTCCCCTCTTCGGGCCCCTCCACGGAATGGAAGCCCTTGTGCTGATGGTGAGGGGGCCCAGTGTGGGTCAGGGGAAGGCAGGAACCGGGACTGGCGGGCAGCCAGAACCTGCTTCAGCAGAGAGAAAGACTAATAATGACCTGCAGTCTAGGCAGCCAGCAACACAGTCATTGAGGACCAGCCCAGTCTGGTCAAGAAAGGTCACTGTGGTCGGGGAGGGAGGACAGCAAGCAGCCCCATAGGAGAGGGAAAGGCACGCGAACCCCCAGCTGCATGGCCCCGCAAATCTTCTAGGTTATAGCTACACTCATTGCATCTCCTTTGCCTCTCTCTCTGCAACTCAACATTACTAATATTGATGAGACCCGGCGTGCGCACATGAGCACACACGTTTAATGAACTAAAGTGAGCCTTTGGTGGTGCTCCAGGGGGAGGGGAGGGTGGAGCTGCAGAGAACTTGGGTCTTTCCCTGAGGTCTTCTCCAGCCCCGCTCCTGGAGCGCCCAGGCCTGCACAGCCACGGGGAACCACCCAGGCATGCTGTGCTTGGAAAGCCCTTCTCTCCAAGAACCCCTTCCCCTCTCCCTTTCATTCCCCTCTGCCTTATGGGAGGAGACATTTGGCAAGGCTTGGGGACCTGGGAAAAGTCGCAACTCTGCTTTCTACAGAGGGGTGGCAGAAATGTTTGGGGTGAGAGTTGGGGTTGGGGTTTTCATGACGTAGTCTCCCCTTTTTGTGTATTCCCACCCACAGGTCTTTTGCTCACTTCCTTAGCCAGTGCTCTTCCTACGCAGCCCCTTCCCTCCCGTTCAAGCGAGGTGCTAAGGAGTGGGCGGGGTGGGATCAAAGAAAAAGAAATCCACCCCCTGCATGTAAGACACTTGACATATGTGAGGCTGAGCCTGAGGATGTAAAGCAATGACCTCAGGGGGAAGCAGGCAGCTGGAAAGGCGAGGCAGACAGGATCCTGGCTTAGCACGGTGTCCGGTCCATGTGGCCTTTAGGAAAACATATCCCTCACTCTGACACTAAATCGCCCATTTGTGCTGGTGGCACAATGGTTAAGTGCTTGACGGCCAACCCCAACGTTGGCTGTTTGAACCCACCCAGTTTTTCTGCAAGAGAAAGACCCGACTGTGTCTTAACAAGGGGTAGCTACGAACCACAACTAACTGGACAGCAGCCAATCACAGCCAGGAAAGGGGTCGAGGGCATGTCCATCCTGGGTCTGGGCTCTTCCTCCTCTTCCAGAGTGATTGTAGAGGAGGCTGCTCGTGGCTGTAACTCTTAGCCGGGCACAGATTTTGCACGAGGCCGTGCACTAAGCTCCAGACAGGGGCTGGGAAACCTCATCTCGGGCCAGTCTTCAAGTTGCTTTTCAATCTTAAATCTCCCAAGGAGCTCAGAGGATAGGTCAAGACCACGCCGGCAGAGAAGGTTGTATGTGTGGCTAGGACTCTCGGTTTGCAAGGCATGTTCACGGTGGACGGTGAGCCGGCTAACACCTCTAGTTCTGTCTCTGGAGCTAACAGGGCAAACCCATAGGTGATTGTAGCCAAGCGGTGGCTACCCTCCAAAGATGTATATCATTCATGTGCACGTTGTCGAAATCCTAAAGGCATCTTGGCTCCTGTGTGTCCGCCGGCCACAGGGAATTCGGCTGGGCAGGCAGCTGCAGCTTTCGTGTTTCTGGGGTGGAGGTGATCAGAGGTGTAAAGCGACCTGGGTGGTGGCCCTGCCCAGCTCCACTAGAGAAAGCACAGTGAGTGGGGTGGTAGCACGGAGGCCCTTGTGCACGGTGACCCTGGTGGTCTGGGCAGCGTGTGGCACATCTGGGTGTGAGGCTCAGACCTCCGAGACGTCGTCCGCAAACTTCCCTAGCCCACCTTTGGCTAGCTGCTCCTCAGCTCAAAACTCCGTACTTCCTGAGACTCCCAAGCCTCTGCCCGAACAGCATCAGGAACAAGCCCCTGTTGCATCGCCAGCTTCTAGCTGTGCCCTGAAGGGGCTGTACTTAGCTTGCTTCCAAGCGAAGTTGCTTAGCACTGGGGCAGGCCCATGTGTAGGGGGCGGCTCAGAGCTGGCCTCTTGTGGCTATCCGCTTCGCTGGGAGGGAGGCCCATGGAAGGCCCTTCGGGGTCCTTGGGCAGTGAACGCAGGTCTTGGCAAGTGGAATCGTGGAGAGGAGCAGGGCCCCAGAGCTGAACACGCTGGAGACTCAGTGTGTCTTCTGCTCCATATCCACCATCCCCTTGTTTTG